CGCTTCCGCCGACCCCGCTTGCGGCTGTCCTGCCCATGGCTCTGGCCATCCCCGCGGGCACCCGCAGCCAGGGGGCTGTGCTTGCTGGAAGGTGACTGCTTGGAGCTGCCCGCAGAGATGGTGAAGACGACCCTCCTCTTGGCCTCGCTCTCCGGGTCCGAAAACCCAGAATCTGAGGGCAGGTCCCCCTTGCTGGAGTCGGGGAGTGGGCCTGGGGCAGCCCCACCGAGCCGGGGGCTGGCGGAGAGCTGGTGGGCGGGAGAGGCCGGGCGCGAGTTTCGGGGCTGCACTAGCAACGGAGGGTGCTGGGGAGTTGAGCTGCGAGACCCCACAGTGGCAAACAGGCTCCCCGAGCTGGAGGACTCGTCGAAGGCGGCCGCCTCAGACCCGGGGCCGAGGGAGGCCGGGCTGCCGGCCAGGGCACCGCTGATGGCCACCGAGCCAGTGTAGGAGAAGCCTGTGGGGCGACATGGCAACTCAGGGAAGCAGTGTGGCCTGGACGTGGCAGGAGAGGGGCTGGGGGACGGATCCAGAGGTAGGCGAGACCTCACACGGATGCCGTCCGGCCTCACTGGCACTGCTCCTCATGTGTCTTTGAGGGCCTGCTGATGGCACTCACTCAGACCCTCTCCCACCCCTGCCCTCATCGCCAAGCCCTCGGGAGTCAGCCTCAGCCACCCTGGCCCTCTGCGAGTCTGAGCCATGTACCCTCAGGAACGTTCTGGGCCAGCCTGGTCAGGTGTCCAACCCCCAGAGCCAGGGCCACCCTGCGGCCCTTGTCCCAGAGAACCTGTGGCGGGAAGGGCCTGTGCGCCTGTGTGTCTGTCCTGGAACAACTTCCTGATCTCGGGACTACTGGGCTCCAACGCCCAAGACCGCCCTCTGTGGAAGCCTTGGAGGCCCAGACCCTCTCCCCACCCTCATTCCAGCCCATGGGAGGAGGCACTTCTGGGTGCCCCAGGGACAAAGGGGCCGGTCACTAGTTCTGCTGGCTCAGAGGAGAGTGAGGGGCTTCTGGAGCAGAGCTCACCATCAGCTCCAGAACCCCATGAGCCCTCCCTCAGGCAAGGGGGCTGAGGGCACAGGGCGGAGGAGGGTCGGTGCCACACCCTGCCACGCCCACAACCACGCAAAGAAGCCGCAGGCCCTGAGGACACGACACTGCCAGGCAAGGCCTGACGAACGCTCCCAGCACAACCACGTCCACACAAGTCCCAGAGAACGGCCAGGCGGGGCCCTTGCTGCACGAGGGTGATGCCAGGTCCCAGGTAAGGGGCTGGGGACCATAAGGGCCAGGAAGCCAGGAGAGTCCCAGGCCTGTCACGCACACACACGCTGTGTCACAGGGGCACATGGAGGTGAGAGGCAGTGAAGTGAATCCTCAGACAGGCGGGCACCTGCCTCGACGCCGGGTCTCAGCCCCTTTCCTCGCGGGAAGGTTCCTGATACCGTAACTACTAGCGCTAACTGGACCTCACCCAGGAGAGGGCACAGGACGGGGTGTGCATGGCCTCACAGGCATCTTCAGGGACAATGCACGGTCAACAGTCGAGCCCGCCCCAGCCACCACGGCCATCTAGATGGCATGGCCCCGCGCCCTCACGTGGCGTGTAACGCGGGGAGCCCGGGTTGGCCTGCCGCCTGCTGTTGATAAAATCTTGTGTGCCCCCTGCACATCCTCCACCCTGCTTCTGCCTCCAGGCTGCACACCAGACACTGACAGCAAAAGGCCCGGACACCACTGGGGCCTTCCCAGACGTGCCAGCTGGCACACTCTGCAGAACAGAACCCAGCTGGTGGGGCATGGAGCCCACAGCCGCCTGCCCTCGGTCCCGGGCCATGGGAACACCCAGGCCCCACGGTGGATGGGCGGCAGGAATGCCCTGGTGAGACCAGGCCGTGCCCACAGGCTGAACTACACCAGCCGTGGCGGGTCTGTGCCAGGGCATCCAGGCACGACTCGCCAGGGCTACGACTGTCCCGGGAGGCACCGGGGCCTCAGCTGAGCCCGCCCACATCCCAGGATCATTGAAGGGCATGGGAAAGGTCATTGCGAACCACCTCCCAGGGCACGGGGAGTCGCCTGACACCCGGGGCATCCTGCTTGAACAGCAGCAGCTGAGGCCTGGGAGGTCCGGGGCGGGGGAGGGAGGAGGCCCGAAGGTGCGTGTTACCTGCAGGGGCCAGGGCAAGGCTCTTGCTCCCAGCACCGTGGGGGTTAGCACCAATCTGCTTTTCAAGTGTGGACGAGGACTCTCGAGGCTGCGGCACTGGACTCGGGGTGCTCCTCTGTGGAGAGAAGGCCCACCACATCAGTGGGGCTGGGACGAGGTGGGATACCCACGTCCCGTCTAGAAGTTGTGAGCGGGGTGGTCGCTGGGCGGGAGAGGCCACTGTGGTCACGGCCCACCACAGGTGGGAGAGGACAGGCGCAGAGGAGCCGCAGGAGGGTGGGGCCGGGATGTGCGTGTCAGCGTGGGTGGCGGTGCCACTTCGCCCTGTGCGGCCAAGGGCAGTTTGGCCTCGGTCCAGCCCTTGGTCCAGCCCTCGGCAGGGGCCGTCACCGACACACACCAGGGAGCGGAGCAGATCTGTCAGGCGGTGGGAGAGGCAAGGTCCCTCGGGACACACCCCAAACACCATTGCCCCCAGGTTCACCGTGTTACACAGGCCACTCCTGCAACACCAGATGCAACAGGGCCTGGCAGGTCGCACCTGTGAAGGCCAGAGGGCACAACAGCTCTGTGCACACAGAGACTCATGTCCAGCATCTGCAGATGCCCAGAGCAGACAGCACCCAAGTGTTTGTTCACTGGCGGATGGACGAACACGACATGGTCCATCTGTGCCATGGATGCTATTCATCCACTAAAACGATAGCAGCTCAGACCCAAGTGGACTCAGGGGCTTCAGGGGCTTGGCAAGAAAATGGGCAGTGGCTGCTGACAAGGAAGGGTGTTTTTTGTCCGGTTTTTGCTTTTTACTTTCTTGAGCCAGAGTCTCACTCTCACCCAGGCTGGAGGGCAGCGGCACGGTCATGCCTCGCTGCAGCCTCGGCCTGCTGGGCTCGGGCGACCCTCCTGGCTCAGTCTCCTGAATCGCTGTGAAGACAGACACACACCACCATGCCTGGCTACATGTTTGACAATTTTGTAGAGATGGGGTCTCACTATGTTGGCCAGGCTAGTCTCAAACTCCTGGGCTCAAGCAATCCTCCTGCCTCAGCCTCCCAAAGTGCTGGGATTACAGATGTGGGCTACCGTGCCTGGCTGGGGTTTCAAACTATATGGGGTGATGGAATGTTCTGGAATTAGAGGCGGTTGGTTGCAAAATTGCGCAATTGTACTAAAAACAACTGAATTATTCACTCCGTGGATGAACTTACATAAATCACATTTGATTAAAAACATATAGCCAGGCTCAGTGCTCAGCCTGTCATCCTGCACTTTGGGAGGCCGAGGTGAGTGGATGGCCTGAGTCCGTGGGTTCGAGACCCGCCTGGGCAACTTGGCGAGACCTCGTCTCTACAATAAATCAAAAACTAGCCAGGGGTGGTAGCACGCGCCTGTAGTTCCGGCTACTCGGAAGGCGGAGGCGGAAGGATCGCCGGAGCCCAGCAGGTCGAGGCTGCGGTGGCCGGGAGCGGCCACTGCACTCCAGTCTGGGCGACAGAGCGAGACTCCAACTCAAAAAAACCCACACATATAAGTAAGTGGCTCACTGCCCAGATGGCCCCTGCCCACGTCTTATGCAACGACACTGTCCATGTGCATTGGCATGGAACAGAAGACTGGACGCGGCTGGGAAGATGCGGCCACCGCAGCCCAGGGCCTGTGGGAGGGGGAGGCAGGCTCTGGGCAACTCGGAGCTTTTCCCAACGCCTCAGGCCTCTCGCTCGCTCACACCACCGCCGAGTGGGGATTAAACACTGCAGAGCAGACGGTCATCGGGCCCGACTCAGGCTGTGCCACATGCCCGCGCCGCCGTGCTCCTGGGACGTGACTGCATGCCACTTCTCAAGGGGAGCTGGGCCCGGGGAAGCCCACGCCTCTGACCACAGGCACTCACCGCCCTCTCGGCGCGGCTGGGCAGCACCACGCTGGCCAGGGGGATGCTGACCGGGAGCTTGTTGGGCTGCACCGTGCTGAGCGGGATGCTGATGGGCAGGCTGGTGATAGGCTCGCCGCCGCCGCCGTAGGCGCGCTCTCTCAGGCCCTGCCACACAGACGCAGCCTGAGGACGTGGCACCCCACACCAGACCCCAGCCTCCCCTGGGAGTCAGGGCCATGGACACCACCTGGGCCCTTCCGAGGCACAGCAAGCCTGGCCCCTCTGGGAGCGATGCCCCAGTTCCCTGCGGATGTCCTGGCTCCGTGGACGGTCACTTACAGGGCCACGAGCCTCCAGGGACCTTTGCCTGGCAAGGCCACGTCCTCCCCTCACCTCTGCCCATGATGGCCAGGCCCGGGCAAAGCCCTCAGCCACAACTTCCCAAGCCGGGCTCCACGTTCCCTGAGGACAGAGGTGCCAGAGACCCCTGCCAAACCCACCAGCCCTCGACTCCCTGCTCTCCAGCGCCTGCCTGGTGTGGTGACAGGACTGGTGTCCTGTCCTCACAGCCCCCTCACTGCCCATGCTCTTCTGCAGGCCAGACCCTGTCCCCCACGGTGCCCAAGGTCATGGGGGAACTCTCCCCTGCCACACACACCTAGGACCCTCGGCGGGCCAAGTACCCCAGAGCCCTGGAGAGCACGAGGGAAGGGAGGAAGGAAGCCCACGTCTCACCTTCTCGCTGCTTTTCTCTCCGGGAATCTGCAGGGCCCCCGGGGACATGGGGCGCGGGTCCCGAGGGCTCAGCTTCATGCTGCCGGCCATGCTGGGGCTCTGGTAGGGCAGGCCGTTCTCCTTGGCAGGCTCGACTCTGGAAAGAGCGGCTATGTCACCCCCGAAGCCTCACGACGTCAAGGCCAGTGTTCAGGCCTGGGGACCCCACCCAGCAGCCCAGGTACCAGGCAGGCGTCGGGGAGCAGGCGCAGAGCCCACGCTGCCTGGGCACTCACCGTGGGTGCAGCTCGCTGGCCTTGCCGGAGACTGCGTGGTCCTGGCTCAGATGCCTCCTGAGCACGATCTTGGCAGGCGAGAGCCGGGTATAGTCGGGCACAGCCAGACCAGACAGTTTCTCCAGGCGCGGCCGGCCACCGTGGCTGGGGGTGCAGGGCACTACCTCCTGGTCTAGGGGCGACGCCAGGTACTGCGGTGTGTTCTGCTTGGACGCGGGCCGGCTAAGTGCACCACACAGCTCATAGGCAGCAGCGTGGCCGTTCATGGAGAGTTCGGGGCTCATGCCACTCAGCTGGGGCAGCGGGAACTTGGCGCCGTCCAGCTCCAGGTGCGGCCGGCCGGGCTCCGCCTCCAGCTCACGGCCTGGCACGCCCTTCCCACGCAGGTGCACAGACAGCACGTCATCGGGCGGCACGCAAGACTTGAGCTGCAGGAGCTCCTGCTGCCGCTGGCTCTTTTCCAGCTCCACGATGCTGATCTGTGAGGCAAGAGGAGGTGTCAGCCCTGCTACGGCCGGCAGAGGCAGGCCCAGCTCCCCAGCCACCAGCATGAAGGGGCTGGGCTGGGGGCCGCGCCCATCTGCTCCTGTAGGATGAAAAATCCAAAGCCCCGACAGGCTATCGGTGGGGGCTGGAGAGCTCTGGGGCATGCAGAGATGGCACATGAGTTTCGAGGAAGTTTTCACAGGTTTGTGTTCATTCACACAAAAACACATTCCCCAAAAAGGCAAGAAGCAGAAAGACACGGTGTGACCTCGTCTCCGTGAGACATGGACATGGGAGTAGGAGAACCCCCGGAAACCCGCAAAGGACACACACCAGAAGTGCTTTCTCCTGGGCAGAAAGACGGAGGAACTTCTGCTGCTTCGTTCACCCACCCTATGCTTTGTATCTCCCTGACTAAAGCAGATACATATCCTTTTCCCACAGGAGAAAATGTGGACAAGACGGCTCAAAGGCCATGGAAGCTTCGGTTCCGGAAAATATGTGGCAACAAGGCCCAGCCCTGGGAGGGAGGCCGGCATCATCCTTGTGCACGGCACACACCGGCAGGGCAGTGGGTCACCTGCCCACCCCCGTGCCCCCAGAGCCCTGCCACATCCAAAGGCAGCACGTCATGGAGCTTTACATGCTAACGGTCGACTTCTGGGGGTGTGCGTTCAAGGAAGTAGCCTTAAGCAAGTTTTCGGCGCAAAGAAATCTTAACTGTGTGCAACAAGTCATTTGCAACAACCAAGGGTCCAGCTGCAGGGAACGAGTCCCATAAATTCTGTAACTGTGCCGGGCTCAGTGGCTCAGCCTGTAATCCCGTGCCTTTGGGAGGCTGAGTGAGTGGATTG